CCCCCCCCTTGTAAAAATGTACAACAGGGCCACAGCTGGGTTAGTACTGGTGCCAATATTGTCAAAGCTGGCATATCATAAGCACCTAAGCTGGTAAATCTTTCGCTGAACATCAAAATGATAACATGAGACTAGGCGTTAGAAGCCAGCAACAGGACAATACTGATTCTAAGCATTGGCCCAATAATGACCTCCAACGTGGCCCCAGTATAAATCTTGAGCATCGGTTCCATATCCAGCTTCATCGTTTGCCGAGTACCGTCTCTAGCATTAGATTAGTGTGAATAATAAGCATTTCTTCGTCCGATCGTGAGTATAGACTCAAAAATAATTTTTCATACTAACCCAATAGCATTGGGTAATGCGTGCCACAAATGTGGCATTATGTGGTGGATGTGGTATTATGACCACATTTGTGGTCAAATACACCAATTAATGTAATAAACTTATTCTTCATTTTTGTTATACAATGGATCTGTAAGATTATTGCATCTTATTAATTCCATGATATTGTGTATAGTTATCAACTTATTGTTCACACCGCGGAAAAAGGTTGATAAATTATCGGATTGCAGGTTCAGTTTGAAAACCATTCATTTTCATTTAAATAAAATATATAGTAAAACATGTTATGTTTCATATATTGATCATAGTTGATCAATCTTTTTTTTTTTACCGATATCGCGGTCACTCACCCGCCAAGCAGCGACTAATTTTGGAAACTATATCCGCTTTCTTTAAATCCTCGAAGTTTTAAAGTAAAATATCTGAAATATTTCGATTTATTGAACAAATTTTCTGCAAAAGAGTAACATCTTTATGATAAAATAGTTTAAATATTAGAGGACAGTGACCAAATATGGAATACCATTTTGTTTTTGTGGGATAAAAAAACACTATCATGAATTAAAGGCTATTAATTATAAACACAGTCAGTCATACATTTTGGCTTATCTTAGTCATAGTCTTGTGTTTTAATATTAATCAACATATTTTTTAAATTGACAAAAATTTGTTGGCACCGACAAAACAAAACACTTGCTATCTCTACCGCGCTCGTTCGACTGCCGAGATAAAATGAATGCGACACTAAAGTAAGTAAGTGAGATAGAAGATGGTTGCGTGTTTCGTCTTGAACTAATTGTTTAAAAGAAACAGTGGTATTCCATATTATGGATACTATTCCATATTTGGTCACTTTTCTTTATTATCTATCTCCATTATGTAACTGTACGCACGTTAAAGTGCACTCCAGTTAGACTTATCCGCCAAGAAAACTCTTACGTGTAAAAAACTACGCCAAGTAGAGGATTGCTGTGAATTCCTCTAAAAAAAAAGTATTGAAATCATATTGTTAAGGCCAAGTACATAAGTCACCACATGCTTGCCTATTATATGATGTAGCACTGGTCCATCATTTTAATTGTATTTTCAAAATTTCTTATAACGTTTTCGCTACTCTTTTGTATTACTACTGTTTCTTATAACTAATTATCATTTAATGGTCAGTTAATAATTAATAAAACGTTAGGAGATTCATTATCGAGTACTACTTTGCGGGTTCATGCCTAAAGTCAGTTCTGCACAGTTTTGGTAGGAAATAGGTAGGGAATACACAGCAATCTTGTATTTGGCAAGATTTTTACAAAGAAGTGTTTTTGTGGGGTTATCACAAGTTTTTGTTCTTCAAGTTATATTCAATAAATTCTAGGCACACAATATCCGTATGTGAAATAAAAGTATATTCGTTGATATCGCACATCTTTCACGATTTGCCCTTCGTCCTTCATTATTTTCGAAAATATTATGTCAGCTGATATTATATGTATATGATTCTTCTATTGTGATGAATAGTTCTACTGCGAAAATCGCTTCATATTTCGAGATAGAGGAAAAGATATTTCTTAATAGGTCATCACATATTTCAATATAAATAGATATAATTCTAAAAGACCTCCACCAAGTAGACCATTCATATATTTAATTTTGAGGCCATAGTGACCGTAGATTCCAAATTTCAGGAACAGTTGATGTTTTTTCTGTACCTTTCGTTCGGAAAAAAATGAGTAAGCAGCATAATAACACTGAAAAATAAGCGACTAATATTCTATGAAAAATCTTTGAAAGATTCACGTTTCACAGTGGTACAAATTTATTGTCTTGGATGCGCTTACTTCATTCACTCGCTAAACTAGATGCAAGGAACTATGGAGTGGAACAGCGGGACACCTATCGGCATAAATCGAGCTCAAACTCTGTCACGATTTTAATATGCGTTATCCTCTCGGATTTAAATCACGCTTACTGTATTATTACTCACGTTCGGTGTACTGGTAGAATGTTGAATTTTAGAATTACAATTAGATTTGATATGTATTATTTAACTAATTAAAATGTTAGGTTGATAAGCGGGAAGCGTTAATCATCTATCGGATTTTATTTATATTATTTTCCACGGATTGACTTTTGGGAGATGTTTTTCATCTATCGGCTATTGTTGACACTACCCGTCCGTCCTTATTATTTGTTTGTAACGAGTGCCCTCTCAGTACAGGAGTACTGCGAGGTTGATAGATTTGTTACGTTACAATAGATATAAGAAACTACAAAGAGGAAGAGCGAAACAACCTGGAACTCGTTGTCTGATTCCTCGACACGAGAAACTACGAAAAGAAACTCTTAGATAACCTGAAACTTTTCGTCTAATATGAAAATATAAGAAACTATGACCTGGAAGGACATGACACGCTGGAACTCCTCGTTCGATACTTACGATTAGATATTTATAAGAAACCACGGAAAGGTTGGTTCTGATTTCGTGAGGGTTAAAGGCTTGATTAGTACTTTTATACTGTTGTGAAAGCAGATTTATATTATTTGAAAATTCGATATGAAAGGTAATTTGACGACAAAATATGTTTGTTTGTCCCCTTGTGTGTCTGTGAGTGGCCAGCGCTATCCGCTGGCTAAAAAGGTAAAAAATACAAAGCAGTCAGCGCCTTCCGTCGTGACCGAGTCTCTTGATAGGAATAACTTCAGTATTACACTAGCAGTCGTAATCAGTGAACGTGGATCGGCGTTCTGTGAATACAGAATTGACAAAATCGTTAATTTGTTTGAAATAGTAAGTATGTCTTTTTTAATAAAATTATCTCTCTAAATGAATAATAAACAACTGAGAATAGTTTAAAGATGAATAGTTAGATGCAGAGGTGAATAATGTGGACGAATAGGCTGTATCCAACTCCGAATAGGATGTAGATTGTTTGAACGACCTTGACTTCAACATGCAAGAACGTGAGCAATAGGATGTGGGTATAGACGAGACGGATATGCAGTAGGAGACATTAGCACCATCGACGAAAAAGATGGAACAAGTAAGCAGGACAAGTTCCTGTATTCAAACCCCATTTCTGCGACAAGTAGCAATGAACCGTACGAAATCGCTAACCATGCAAATATCGATCATACGAACTTAGCAAATTCCATTTTGATTGTGCATTAAAGGCATTATTGAACGGCCCAAAGAATATTCCCGCAATTTATTATCATTGAACAAACTAGAATGACAAAAATTGTGCTAGATGTCCATTGTACATAAGCTGAAAAACGCAGTATCAATGTTTGAATAATAAAAAGACTATATGTTCTGAACACACATTGAAGTTGTCCTGCGGCTGCGCTCTTACTAAATAGCAGATCCATGTGTATATTCTTATGTTTTGTAACGTAATTTTTCTTTAACTTGACCCGACACCGATAACAAGACATACGGGAACGACTATCTTCGAGAACCAACCTACGTTACCTTCGGCCGTCCACCCGTCGTTCGTGCATCCGCAAGCTAGGCGGGCGCCAGTCAATTCTTTTTTCACCGGGAACTGACGAGCCGGTATAAACTGGGAGTTGGGATGGAACAGGCCCAACTCCACCAAGAACGAGAGCTCTGACGGAACCTATCAGAAGAGGCGATAGCTTAACGGATCCTGTCGATTTTTGGGGACGCGTAAAATCGAGAAACGCAACCGTAGGTGCTGATCTTTGGGGTCGCGTAAAATCAGCAAACGCAACTGGATACACGAACGGGACACCTCCGTAACACTCACAGGAATTCATAGAATTCCTGGATATTGCGAGAACAACGCGAGAACTGTACTAAGCGAGAACTTGCTATACCGTAGCGAAACACGGCAAGAAAAACTAGCAACAGATAGCACGGGAGCACGAGCCAGCCCGTGGCACCTCGGTCGGTGCCCCGAGACAGACTGCTTTGACAATAGCCAAATTCGAGAACTAATCATTCTGATTGGTCGAGAGCCTTATAGCCGATAACTCTTCTATCTCCTTCGAGTCGTCCCTTTAAACCAAATCGAGAGCGTTCCTTAGCGAATCGGTACATAATCTTTGGAGATCCTCCACGGCCGCTTCCCCAGGGCATCGGGCGACAGCTGGGCACTACATCCTTAACTCGGGCAGGAGGTTCCTCCCCTGCCCTTAACCATATCGCAACTTCCTCCGCCCGCTCTACAGCCCTTTGCCCATCTCCAGCGGGGCGCCGGTATCTCACCTGGGCTTCTGCCGGTCCGTGGAGACGTCTCCGTCGGGTACTCTCCTCTGCCGGGCAACTCGGTACGTCGAGACTATATCCCCACGGCAGATTCGAGCACCTCGACCTCAACAAAACACTGACACAATCTTACGAGAGCCTTGACATAACTGTACGAATCAATCCGAGAGCGTAGCTTCTGAGCAGGGTGGCGACCCGAAGAGAACCAGAAATCGAGAACGTTATCTATATCGGTAACCGGAGCCGCCTTGGGACCGTGAAATCACGTCGATCGAAAAATCACGTCACAGTTTGTATTTCTTATATCTTATAAAACTTTTTTTTTGTAATAAATATTGTACAGCAGAATATTTACTGATGCTTATTTTATCGTTCCATACTCTGGTATTCCTTTTTCGATCTTACTCATTGTTTATTAAAGAATTATTTAACAATTTATTGTAGAAAATTAATTTGTTTTAATGTTCCTGAGACTTTGGAGTTTCGGTTTCACTATAGTTCATCTAAACAATTTTTATTTATAATTAATTTTCATAGCTATTTCGGTTGCTTTCCGCGTATCAAGAAAATTGTGTTTTTACCAAAATCGTTCAACTTCCCTTGTTCAAGGAATTCACCTTTTTAAAGCGAATTTTCATTTTTTAGCAATTCCAAATACCCTTTTGAAGAATCGGAAATTCATTTCTTGTTTTAATAAAAAAATTAATCTTTTCCGGAGAAAACTGATTTTTACATGTTTTGTGTGACACCGTTTTTTATAAGCGTTAGAACTTTTGAACAAATTATTTTTGATATTGAACTATAGCTAATTCTTGTTAGCCAGAGTCTGGCATTTTGATATAACTATGATTCAACCCAAAAATACACCTTTGTTAAAAAATGATAAAGCAAAGAAAATCTTAGGTCGATAGACCATGTGTAACCTAAGACAATAAAGATAGCTGTGACGAGCTGGAGTTAATAATATTGATGCTGGATTGGGATGCAATATTTTGAATGAATAATGTGAAATTTTCGTCTGCGTCTCAACAGAATGTATTTGTGATGGGTCACTTTCCTAAGAGTTTAAACATAAAATTTTAGTCATCGATATAGAGTCAGATCTATGTATTTTTTACTCTTTACAACCACATATTATCAATCTGCAGTATTTTCAAAATCAAGTACTTTCAATTGATTTTTTTTGCTACTTTCAACTTCGTTTCTCCCAATTTTCAGTCATCAACTAATCCCATTTTACTCTACTCCATCAATCGTAGTTATAACCAGTGCAGATAAATACGGCATGGTTGAATATTAACAAGTGACGTTGAAGACTCACGTCGCTAACTTCATTCATAAGTAAGACTGGTCGAACACGGCGAATGGGGAGTAACTAAGTAAAAAGTTGGAGCGACAAAGAAATTATTAAATAATGAGGTTAACCAGTCGCAACCAGTTCAAAATACATCAGTTTGATTGTACCATATATGAAAGGGTAATATAGTAAGTAAAATTGCATGAATCTATATAGCAATACTTTTATTGATGTTCAGTCATACAAAATACTCATTCACATTGATATTGATCAATCAATAAAAGGAAACTTAGTAGCTAAACGTTTGGCTTAAAAACGAACTGGATATCAGTATACGTTTGGATGACAGAAACATTGTGTACACTCAAATTTTGAGTGTTTGTTATATAGTTTTAGTCAATATTTCGTCTTGCACACGTATTATTGTGATTATGATTATTAGTTATATCATAAATGTGGCACAAGTGGACCCCCAGTCCTACGCCAAACAGCTATTTTCAAATTTTTTCACTGTAGAATCTGTAAGCGATTTGATTGTAATGCCTGCGATCCCATGATGTACTTTCCATGACATAACGTCTATACATGAACATGGGGTATGTGAGATAGCGACTACTTAATATGGATTGACGTATTAAGTAGTTCATTTAAATAATACATAATACATTAAAATAATTCACGAGAATAATCTGCGTATTGTAATACAAATAATTCGTGAAGCATAAGAGGTAAATATTCCCGCTTGATATCAAGACGACGGGTTAGAATGTCTTCTTAAAATAATAATGGTGTTCACATTTACTAGAAGTAAACAAAATTCATTAATCAATGTCAAATAATTGCCATTAAGGCCTATTCTACTTTTGAACTTTAAAAAAAATTCGATTTTTTTTGATAATATTTCTATAATACATATTTTTAAAAACTCAAGTAAAATTTCATCGAGAAATTCTTAATATATCGGCCTTTAGAGAGGAAAAACCCAGTCGGCATAAGTTGAGAGTAAGTGTATTTTTAACAAGTTTTAAGTTGATATCAAACTTTAAATCGATTTATCTCAAAACTAATTTTTTTTTCACCTGGCGCAGGTGATATTGAAAAAAATACTCGTCTGATCTGTTTAAGATTTTAATACACTATTCTACACATCATTGGCTATCGTCCCTACCAAAATTAGAATAAAAAGAAAAAAATACATATTTTTGTTTAACAAATAAGATTAAAAAACCCGCGTTTTTGATCGGTTTTTTTAAACTCGAGTAATTTTGAAATTTTTTTGTTTAGTATTAATTCTGGTACCAGCCATAGCGGTAGTCTTATTAATTAAGAATAATTTTGATTTTTGTGTTTCACATGTAGTAACGTCAGTAGGAACGATTTTTTTCAAGGACCTCCGCGCAACGCCAACTATTTTATGTTTAATTTTCTAAACTTTTAATTTACAAAATTTGTTTCCTGTTTAAAGAATGTGTTTTCGAATAAAAAAATTGAACCGATAGCACTTGTCTTTCTACTAAAAAAAATTCTAAAAATCATTAATTTTTTTGACCGAAAAAGTAGAATAGGGCCTTAATAAATCATGAAGATAAAACAATTATAATTGATAGACAACCCGATAATAGAAATAATATCACATATTTCCCAGCATATTCATTAGCGTTATTGAATGGTGGACTGTACGTATTGAGCGAGCACTCTTGTTATGGAAAATAACATTAATGACATTGAAAATGTTCAAATAATTAGCTTACTTGGACGGAGGGTCTAATACTTTACCGTTAGTGCGTACCTTAATATTGTACCTGTAGGCCGGTTCCGCTTCTGGGAGAATCGTACTCGCATCATCATCTTGTTCCTTGATAGGATAGCCGAGGTCACCTTCGTCATTTACGTAATCTTGAACAGTGTCGTATGGGCCAATTGTGTGAGCTTCATCAAGGGTATTATTGGGTAACTCAGTTTCCGCGTTGTTATCATAATCGGGAGCCGGGATATTACGCAATTCCGCCGTTCGTATATCGCTACGAGGGATCGAGTGGATCTCGTGTGTCTGAAAGTCTTTGAATACTGTGTCACGTTCATCTGTGGGTGAACCATCTGTGAAGAGTGTAGCAATATCCGGGATGTATTCCGGCGGAGTGTCTTTCTTCTCCACAAATGAACTTTCTTGATTGTCAATCACGGGATTTTCGGTTTTCGCTTCAGAAGAGGGAGCGGCCATGGCCAGCCTTTTAAGGATGGGATCTTTCATAATCTTTGCCGGAGACTTTTCTGAGGTCAATTTTTCATTGTCGCGTGTGGTATCCGTGTTTTCTTCCTCAGCTGGCTTGGCCGTGGTTATTATATAAGGCCTACGATTTCTATAATAAAACGATGATATTTGTAAGAAAATATTTTTATTCCTTTAATATTCTAGAAAAAGCGATTAATTGCGTCTTTTGAATCATTACTCGCATATCAGATTATTAGCAATTTAAAATAAGGAGTTGCTACCGCGTACCATTAATAATTACAGTTGGAACTATCAATGAATCGGGTTAATTTTAATAGTAACAACATTTCTTTTATCAAGTGCCCAAGCTTTCTTTTTTGAGATTATTAAAGTATTTAATTTTTGTCCTTGAGAGTGTATGTACAGCAAGGCTGATGTTTTAATACTGGTGTCATCAATTCCATAATTTCTTGTTGTTATGTTTTTTGCTTATTAAAAATTTAAATAGCAGCTTCTTGGACTTTCAATAAATATCTCACCTCTTACCCCTGTGTCGCGGAAACTGGAATACTGCCATAGTTGTAATAGTAGCATCGCGTCTGCTCGCAAATAAAATCCTTGATGAGGGTACAATCCTGTCCCTCCCATGATAAAGTCGGAGCGATCATTGCTACACAGCCATCTGCGCTACCGCTATCCCCACTGAAATATTATAACAAAAATAGGTTTTTTGGAAAAAAAAAGAATACTCTTCAAGATTGTTCAAAGGATGTGATATTGTAATCCTACCTTTCACGGGCTACCCTTTGTGGTTCGGTACCTGGTGGCACGTCTACGGGTCTGTTGCCAGGTCGCTTGAGCATATAGTCAAAAGTAGCATTGAATGGCAAACCCGTGCTCATCCACAGGAACATATCAGTACCGAGCTTATTACCAGACGTCCAGAAATCATATTTAGTGTAACCAGCATTTTTTAGATATTGGGTCATCGTGTCAGCTTTTTCTTTTGTTTCGAAAGAAGCTAACTGAAGACCCAGTGAGCGACAATATTGGTAAGCTAAGAAATAGTTCAATTCCGGACTGTATGGATTCATTCTCGATACGAAATACTGCACCCCATCAAGTTGAATGGTCGTTATTCTTTGTGCTGCAAAAAAAAAGCATTGTTTAGCGTTTTCTAAACCCTCACCTATTACTGATATATCATATTATGTGAAAATTAATTTAGATTTCTAGAAATATCATATTAGATGCGTGATATATTGCTTAATAATAATTCAGTTCATGAAATATGATAATATTCAGTGGCAATTGCCATATGCATTCTCGCTGAAATGTTCGAGCTCTAATAATGACTTACTCTAATAATTTAAAAACATTTTTTAAAAAAATTATTCTGAAAAAGAGTTGACATATTTTTCATTTGAGCCTACGATTAATATTTTCGACAGTACTATTTATGTAAAAATTTGAAATTTCCAATATATTCACTTTCTAAAATTCCGAATCACCTTGAAAATGTTTAATTCTATCAAAAAATTAACCTAATGAAATTTTTCAGTTTGAAATTAATGATATGATGTATATTAAAAAAAAGTTTTTCATAGTTTAAAATATTATTATACGATGTTAAGAAGAAAAATTTGTTTTTCGTAAAGTTTGATATTTTTAAAAATAAGAAAAACATTCATGAAAATTCTGTTATGGAAATAAAATATATTGTTATAGAAAATGCTACTGTTACCGCACTTTGTCGTTAGTGCGTATGTACAGGGTGTTTCCTAAGCCCCGGACAAGAGACATACCGTTAGATCGAGCGTGAAAAAATAAAAATATTGGCGTTAACAAAAATCAAAAATTTTAATTAGTTTATTAATTATTAAAGATTAAAGTAAGCCAATCATAAGCGCGTGAAAACTGGTAACTCCTCCTCAGTCTCCTCCCATTGGGGACAGACAATCATTCATTTCCCCGCAAAAAACATTTTGCATTATTCTTTTGTATATTTACGTTACTATATTTACGTATCCATCGGTCACTGTTTTTGTGGGGAACTAAATGATTGGATGTCCCTAATGGGCGGAGACTGAGGAGGAGTTACCAGTTTTCACGCGTTTATGATTGGCTTAGTTTAATCTTTAATAATTAATAAACTAATTAAAATTTTTGATTTTTGTTAACGCCAATATTTTTATTTTTTCACGCCGGATCTAACGGTATGTCTCTTGTCCGAGGCTTAGGAAACACACTGTATATATGAGCAATAGTTTATATCTCGTCGAGAAATATACCGCTGAAATATTTAATTTTAAAATGAAACTTGTGACGTAAGCCGTCAATCGGCGTCGCCTACAAATAATCCGTGGCTGCTCCCAACGTGCTAAAATCGAAGAAAAGAGCCGAAAATCTAATTGTTGGGCGTCAGGTGCGGCTTCCCCGCACCACCATCCCTCACCATGGCCGTTTTTTACATTTCCCGACGGCTCAGCCTCAGCGCACTGAAAACGGTAGAAGGGAATATGGGGGCGACGAGAGAGAATTTCAGAGTCAGCGGATAGGCGCGCAAAATGATTAAACAGCGAGTAGGATACCGTTTCGTTTATTACCATTAAATAAACGGCGGATTTTACAATACAAATTCCGTCGCCATTGGCGTAGCCAGCATTTTTTTCTGGGGGGGGGGG